AATTGTCTAAGACCTGCAAAAACATTATTTTGTATGCGTGTTCTCTTACCAAAAAGTTGTGACTTCCGAAAGAACGTGTTTGTTTATTTCATCGACTTTAAAAAGGCATTCGACCGAGTACAACACTATACTCTTTTCGATTGCCTGCGGACAGCAGGACTTAACCACTACGATATAGACTGCTAAAATACTTATATTACAATCAAGTAACGCGGCTGGTAGTAGACTGTGGCTGGTCTCAACTTGCGTGAAAGAGGGGCTTTGAATTGAGTAGGGGCCTTTCAATACTTTGCGTAAGACCGACTAGGCGGGGAAGTCCTCAACCCCGACACGGCAGGGGAAATTCCTGCAGATATGCAGGACAAGTACGAATAAACCATAACCAAATAAGTATCCGCGGATCAACTGAGGACATGGCATTTGGCAGCAGTAATGTCATTACTGGATTAAGGCTGAAGGAAAGTAAAAAAAATCCTGTAGGCTTAATTCTAAATACTCATAGGCGTCACTCGCAATATGAGTCAAACGGCTGTGATACTGCAATGGGAAGGCAACGGGAAACCACTCCCTAGTTCATTCATCATGGTAAATTTAAATCAATTTGGAGAAGGTACTGATCATGGACTTCGGATACCAAGATCCGGCAGGGGAGAAAGAACAAGAAAATGTAGGCCTTCCCAGGTCGTCAACCCACGAAATCCTTACCAATATGTAAACACTAATAGAGAAAAAGTGTGCACGTGGAACGTTCAAAAAATCTGTACTTGGAATGTTCGAAGTATGTTTGAAGGGGAAAAGATACACAACACCATTCAAGAAATGAAAAGACTAAATATCGACTATGGGAATCAGCGAGATAAGACGGCCAGGCTCGGGACAATGTTGTGTGGATGAGCATATTATAATATTATGCGGGAAACGATAAACCACATCATTGGAACGACGTAGCGGTGACTCTGAGCAAAAAAATCGCGGGGGCTGTGATCAGCGTGCTACCTCTCTCTGATAGAGTCATTCTTATGAAGCTGCAAAGCAGACCCATTATTACGAAAATCATTCAAATTTAAGCTCCAACATCAGAAAAGCCAGAAGTTGATATCGAGGAGTTTTACGCACTTGTACAAAAAGCACTAAAATATACCAAGAAGAATGAGCTTACCATTATCATGGGTGATTTCAATGCCAAAGTTAGCAAAAGCAGAATAGAAGACATCGTCGGACAACACGACTGAGGCGAGAAAAATTAAAGGGGAGACCGACTTATCCAATTTTGTCGGGAAGACGATTTTACCATTGCTAAAACCTGGTTTAGACTTCCCCCGAGGCAACTTTATACGTGGAAGTCACCTGTAAATACAGCAAACAATGATAACCAGATAGACTTTATTCTCATTAACAAAAGATTTAAGAACAGCTTGACTTCGGCGAAGACCTACCCAGGAGCAGACGTCTCATCAGACAACAACCCATTAGTAGGCCAGATAGAACTTAAACTAAAGAAACTCATCAAAAGTAAACCTAAACAGAACCTGGATTATGAAACTCTTAAAGACCTCGTAGGGAATCAAAACGTAAGAGATGTAATGAGAGAAAAACTAGAAACTAGTCCTATATATAGATACGTCCCGACACGACAGGCACCGCGACTATAAATAGAGCGGTAGCGGAGTAATCGTCGGATTCACTCCTCGCCTCTCGACGCGTTAGTGTTCTGAGCTGTTGGACGTGAATCCCTGTCCTGGCATTTGGTTTTCACCTCTGGCTGCATTGAGTAGTTGAGTTACTGTGACCAAATGCCCATCTTGGTAGTTAGTATTCGCCTCTGGTTGCGTTGAGTAACTGAGTTACCGTTGCTAACTACCCATCTTCCTGTTCTTTTGTTTCTTTTTTCTTTTTCTTTGTTCTCCTGAAGAAGCTACATACAATTGTAGCGAAACGTCGAGATGAACCCACTTTTGGGTCACTCACAAATGACACGGTCCAAACCCGGAAGACGAATAAACTATAACGTTTGAAGGTTTCCGAACTATCAGAAGAAAACCTTACAAGAAATGCGTAGAAAATGTCGGTGAAATGCAATTGGATTCCGCAATTCCATGGGTACACGTGAAGCACTTTTCACCTTATAAGTCCTACTTCAGAGATGCCGCGATATTAGTTGTGATGTCTATATTTATTTTATTAACTACGCCAAGGCATTTGACTGTTGTCAGCACCAGAAGATGTTCGCCGCTCTACAAAGAGTAGGATTGGATGAAAGGGACATTCGGATCATCACGAATTGATACTGGAACCAGCGTGCTCAAGTCAAGGTCTTGGGTTGTGTTTTGTCACCTTATCTTTTTAATTCCAGTATCTAGTAGTACCCAGTTACAAAAAACCTGGTAGTTCTGATATGTAATTGTTTCAGAATTTTAATTTAACTTGTCCCGGAGACCTGAAGATAACAAGTAAACTGTAGTGGTCGAAACTATCGATGGATGGTGGAGCACAAGGTCTATTCTATCGTATTTAAAAAGTGTCTAAATATACTCTTTCCATTTCGCCAGTTTCTCTTCTGTACATGTAATTACTTCGTTATTTCTTAAAATTGTTTCTTGTGTTTACCTGTCATGTTTTTAAGTTTCTTATGGATATTGAAGATGTCGTATTTTTCTTGAGGTTGTTTAATTTAGTGACATTTCGTTGACTACCAGTTTTCTTTAGTTTCTTCGTACTTTTTTTAATTGTTTAAAATAGGTAAATCAGGTAATATTGCATAATAATAAAAAATAAATTAACGAATTAGAAAGTTTTGCTTTGAAAAGAAAATCAACCTGTCACTACCGCTAGGTGAAGCAGCTAGATAAAAAAGTTGAACTTATTTTCCAAATGATGAGATAAAAACAACCTACCTACACAGCCAGTTACACTGTTAATTTATATAATAATTAAAAGCTTTATTACAATCATTTTGGTTTTACATTGCGAAGTTGGTAATAATAAAAAACATCGATTCTGGGGGCGGTACCAATTGCCCGTTGTTTCTAGCGGTGCTATTGTTTTAATTCGTCACTGTAAATAAACCAGTTAAAATTTTTTTTTTACTCTCTTACTAGTAAATTGTATATTACCTACTATTTGGATGCTAAGTAAATGCATCACAACAGATACTGACACGTAATGACTAGCACGTAATAAAAAAAATTACGCTTCAGTTTTATAAAAATGTGTTAATATCACATAAGCCTCGTAAGTCAGTTGGTCGAGTTACCATGGAAACGAATTAACAGACGTTATTTTGACAGATTAAAAATTATTAATCTGTCAGTGTAAATATAGTGGTAATTTAATTTTTATTTTTATAAACGAAAATAATGGTAGAAAAAGTATAGTACACAACTTGAGTTGTAAGCTTATTACATGCTTGTAAAATTACTGCGCTCGCCGCTACGGCTCGCGCGCAACTTTTTTACTCGCATGTAATAAGCTTCTTACAACTCTCGTTATGTAATATACTATTACTTACTAAGTGATTTTAAGATCCTCCCTTTTATTTTACGATTTCTCACAAAGTATAAGAAATGCCCAACTTCATCATTCACCGAGAATTTATTGGCTATAAGCGTTTTGGAAGGTTTAGCTTGCATATTTCTACTTTTTGTGATAGTGTAATTACTGTAAACGATAAACTGGAAAAAGGCAGGCCTCACTTTTTACTTCTAACTTTTACTAGATATTACTTGTAATTTCTACAGTTTTAATCCCTGAAATATAAGATGTATTATGTAATTATTGTTGTAATTAAATAATTGGTATCATTTTCAACAAAATATGAATTACTTACTTTGAACAAAATTGTCTATGAAATGCAAAAATATCGGTGAGTGGTCTACGGGGCAAAAAGGTTTGGGAAACATTGGTTCAGAGGGATAAAGTCTAAGCGACTGTGCATGAAATAAGTATGGCTGTTCCATGGTGATATCCTTGGTCTGTATTTCCGTAATAATAAATGTAATCTTGCTTTATTTTTTTGTTTTTATTATCCAGGACATGTTAACTAGCTCAGCTCCAGTATGTTTATATTCATTCTGTCCATCTCAGCTTCCGTATTTGTTAATCTTAAAAGAATGCATAAGCTGCGTACATTATAGGTAGCAATGAGTAATATCTTAACATACCTATATCTGCATTTTATCTTGGCTTCTTTAATTCCCCCTCATTCCATTTAAGGAAGAGATGGCCGCAGGTTATCAATTAGCCTACAGTATATAGAGATCACTTAATAGACAGAACTGACAAAATTATATATAAATAAATATACCTAATTATTATGACAATTGTTTGCGTGAATTATGTAGACGTCTAAATTATGCAGTAGGCACATCCGTATTGTTGTTTGCCTAACCACAGAATAATAAACATACAGAATACCCACTCTCCACGGAAAATTAAGTACGCGCATCTCCTCCGCGCAGACGTTCCGCCATGTTTTAGGAGGATTTTAAAGAAATTAGTGTTGTTTATGTGGTGTGTATGGAAAAATTAACCAGGTTTATTTGACTTACGGCAATCATAGACATACTATACAATTATATTAACATTGTTAAATATAATAACATAAATATAATATAATTAAACATAAATATAAACAATTACATAACCACACAAATCATATGTCTGTGTCCTCCTAAAACATGGCGCGCGTGCTGAAAAACTTCAAAGGCGGCATCTGAGAGTGGCCCTTCTGATTGCTTATTATTCTGTGGCCTAACTAACATATCCGCTAGTTTTAGTAGTTTTTTCTTAAAACCATTCCGTCTAATACTGAAATGTTAAATTATTTTAGTTATATATGTTTTTTAACGTCAGTTATTATTTATAAATGAACACAAAAGGTATCCAAAGCAAATATATGAAATTGGGCTAGAATCATAGAATGTATCATAAATAACAGTGTGACGTCCTGCTAATGTCAGAGAAAGGTCACAGATTATACAAAAATCTAAACGTATTTAAACAAAAGTAGAAGAATTTCCCCCCTCTTTTAAAGCTCGCTTCTTTTGGCCAAGAGGTGTCCGATTTTACATCAAAGAACTTTCTATAATTAATTACCCCTGATATTAATATACCACTAGAAAACATTAATAGGCAAGGTAGGGCAAATATTCAAATACCTTCATTCAGAAATCTACTTAAACTGATCACCTGTTGTACATAACCTAAAACAATGTTACTATTCACGTTCGGTTGATTTTAACAGTGATCCTTTTTTACAGAAAATGCATCCAGAAGAAGTAAGCAGCGTTTGGTTAAACAGGAGATTCTATGAAGATGCCGAAATCGCTCATTACGAAAACTTGACAAAAGTAAGTCGTAAAAACTATTTTTGGTCAAATAGTGACATTTTATTGTTCATCAAATGTTGGGTGCATTCTGAAAAAATTAACACTCTGTTCAACATGCCTTTTAATGTACTAATTGATTCATTAATTTTGTACTAATGTCTTTAGATACACTATGTAAAAGTTATAAAGATTAAACAGCTGGTAAGATAATCAAGTTGCAGTACATATGAAGACTATTTCACCTAATTCTGCAAATAAATTAAACACCTATTAATAATTTTGATATGTACTGTTAAAGCTAAAAATTGCTAGATATAGAATAATATTCTGAAGAATACTGATTGTATGACAACAGCTGTTTGTAATGGAAGTATGTGTGTGGAACATAATTATTAGGTAAAAAATTTTGACAAATTAATTTTTTTCTGATTTCGCTTAAAAAGTATAAAGAAGTTTGGTTTTTGTGCAAACCAATGAGTTTAAAAAAGTTCAACAATCTCAAAAACAGTTTTGACATATCTGAAATTATTAGTTTCCTTGATCATATAAAAACTACACAGATAATATTAGCCATTTTATTAAGTAATAAAATATTAATTTGAAAAAGTTGAAAGTATAAAAATGTAGTTTTTGAAATAATACTACTATAATTTTCCTAAAAATCTTGTGAAATTTTCCTATTTTTCAAGTAACTAGAGGTGAAAATATCTTTTTTAAGTGAAGATACATCATAAAGATAGATAAAGTATACAGATACTTAAAGAACACTATGCCAGGCCTCACAGTGCGAGAATCGCTCAACAGTTTTTAAATGTAGTAAACATTCCTTTTAATGGATTGGCCAGCATTGAGTCTAATGCCGGCAAATCTGTGAAAATATCTTTTAAAATGAAAATACATCAAATAGATAGATACATAAAGTACATAGATACTTAAAGAACACTAACATAAATGCCAAAATTACAATAAATGGTACTCCATTAGAAACAGTGGAGAATATATCCTACCTGGGCTGCAATATTAAGGATACATAATCTGGGATCATAACTCTTTTAACAGTCTTAGGAAGATTCTCAGTAGCCTATCTTCAAGTATCAATATATGCATAAGAATTCTTATATGTGACATGTTAAGTGTTCTCCTACAGAGAGTAGAAAGCTTGAGTCACAAAGATTAAGGGCCAGAGAGGCTCTGGACACAGACATATCCTGAATGGCCAATCTTAGGAAATGGAATGATCTATAGTGTGTGCAAGCACTCCTGACCACGGCGCAGTAGACGAAATTTGGTTTTAGTCCCCACTTCCATACGAAATGCATTGTACTATGCATTGTATAATTCCACTTACAATAGAACCTTTCTGCCTTTACGTGAATTTGACTCCGTCTTCGCACAGCTCCATGGTTAGGAGTGCTTGAACTATCTTTAACATCACCTGGTCCATTTAAAGCTGCATAGAATAGAACCTATGGTTCTCAAACTCGGACATTTACAAAGGAAAACATGGAAAAAATAGCAAAGAGCCATGGAAATGGTGAACAAGGCTATCAGACAAGAAGAGAAATACTTGGATCCGCAACAAAACAAAAGTGACCAATGTATCAACGTAGATAGTAAAACTTAAGTGGAAATTAGTTGGACATACCATAAGACAGAAAGACTACAGATGGAATAAGATGATTATACACTGGAAATCATATAGCTACAAACGAAAAAGAGGAAGGCCACAAATGCGATGGTCAGATGACTTGAAGAAACACACAGGCCCTAAGTGGATACAAACTGCCTACAACAGAGAGACATAGAAGAAGGAAGAGGAAGCCTATGTCCAAAATTGCACAGCAAGGCTATATAGATAGATAGAGAATAGAATTAGATGGGTTAAATAGTATATGCACAAAAGTTAAAAAGACTGTTGTAAAGTTAAGGCAATTTATGATATTTGCGTATTTAAAAAATACTTTCTTTTGGTTATTAACTAATTATAGATTCAAGGTAACAAGTAGCTGAAATATTGTTTATCTTAATTTAATGATAATTTAAGAATTCTTTTAACTATAAGCCTAGTAAATATATTTTTATTTCTGTATTTTGAATAAAATTGGGTATTGAAAATATTTTCTTTTGGTGCAGGCAGCTTTAACCCCATTGGCTGGTGAAGTAGCAAAAGCTCGTCAGAGGTTAATCGAAAGTAGGGACACTTTTACAGTGAGTAAAATTACCCTACAGTATCAGTAATAACACAATAAGCTGTAACTAGGACATGAAAATGTTTTTAGATTGGAACAATGAACTATGAATTAAAATCAAGACTATATTTTTATGACATTCCCTAATTGCAGCTTCCTATATAGCCGATGATCACTTCAATTGTTACAATGTGAACTATGAGAAGTATTATTTAACTCATACTTATATATTTATTTGAAGAAAATTGTTTGTATTCATAAATTTCATTAAATGAAACATGTATCTCTTGTTTTCTCACAAGTAGTAACAGGTTTAACTATGTTTCAAAGTGTAGATTTGATTTTACCCAATTTTCATAATTTTGACAATATTGGAATCACTTCTAATCTATTACATTTTTTTTTGAACCTATTCTCTATCCTTCCATTGTTGGATATAGGTCTCCCCCAGTTCTCTCCATCTTTCCCTATCTTGAGCTGTTCTCTGCCATGTGGGACCTTCTTATTTCCTGATGTCATCTTTCCACCTCATCTGTGGTCTACCTCTTGATCTCTTTGCATTGTATGGACGCCACTTTCTGATGGCATTGTTCCATCATCCGTCTTGGAGACGTTCATTGTGTCCAGTCCATTTCCATTTCAGTTTTGATGCTTGTTCTATCGCATCTACTGTCTTTGTTCTGGTTCTGATCCACTGGTTATGTTTTCTATATTTAAGTGATACATCCAACATTTGTCTCTCCATTGCTCTGTGTGCCTTCCTTATCCTATCCAAATTGGCCTGTGTAAATGCCCATGTCTGTGCTCCGTAGGTGAGCACCGGTATTATACAGGAGTTATATACCTTGCTTCGTAAGTATAGAGGGATTGTTTGATTTTTTAGAACGTAAGAAAGTTTGCCAAACGCTGCCCATCCCATTCTTACTCGTCTCGATATTTCAGCTGTTTGATTTTCTCTGTTAGTTCTAATTGCTTGTCCTAGATAGATATACTCATTTACCTGTTCTATTTTTTCTGTTTGTATTTTTATTGCCTCTTGGTCTTCCGTGTTTGTCATTACATTTGTTTTGTTGAAGTTAATTTTTAGGCCTTTTTGCAGTGATTTTTCATGAAGTTCATTAAGCATTAATTCCAGTTCTTGTCGTTCCGAGGAGATCAGGAGTATATCATCCGCATATCTAAGGTGATTTAGGTATTTTCCGTTAATACATATTCCTCTGTTTTCCCAATCTGTTGATTTTATTATGTCTTCGAGGGTCAAGGTAAACAGTTTAGGTGAAATTATATCGCCTTGTCGGACTCCTCGTTTAACTTTTATATTATCCGTTATTAATTTGTCGTCCAGAATTACGGTCAGGGTTGCGTTTTGGTAAATATCATGTATCAATTGTCAGTATCTTAAATCGATTCTACTATTGACCAGAGCTTCTTCAACCGCCCAGTGTTCAATGCTATCTAAAGCCTTTTCATAATCTACGAATGCTAAGTACAGCGGAAGGTTGTATTCATTGGTTTTCTCAATTAAGATTTTAAGCCCATGTAGATGGTTGATTGTGCTCTATCCTTTCCTGAATTCGGCCTGTTTCACTGGTTGGTAGTTATCAAGTTTATATGTTAGTCAGTTGTTTATTATTCTTGTGAAGGTTTTATATAGTTGTGACAAAAAGTAAATAGGACAGTAGTTGTTTAGGTCTGTTGGGTCTCCTTTCTTATGTATTAAGATTGTGTTGGTATTTCTCCATTGTTTAGGTATTTTACCTTCAAACAGACATTTGTTGAATAGTATTTTTAGCATTTTTTTATCGTGTCTCCTCCTTCTTTTAGCAGTTCTGCCAGTATTTTATCCTTATTTCGCTTTATTTCTTTTCATGTCGTTTATGGATTTTTCGATTTCATCTATTACATACTGTAACGAAAATTAAACTGGATTCAATTGCACTGATCTATTTAAATGTTGTACAATTTAATGCTCTTACAACTATTATTTAATAGCTAGTAGTATTCCTTACATAAAATAACCCAATCTTTTATATCAAAACAAATAGATTCTAGCAAGTTATGGGGAATGCTGTCATTCCAATTTTCCAGATTATTCAAAGCAGTTGACATGTGCTATATGTTCACATAGCTTGTCTTTCCGTAGATGATCTCTTGTACACCAGGTTAACAACAAACAGTGACCATGTTCTAAACGCAGCACTTTATCTATTCTAATCTGCAATTTGTCCAATTGATTTAACTTTTTGTTAGATATTGAAGAGATTCCTTTGGTTGTGTTGAACTCTTGAGTGACACAATGAGCTATTCAGATATTTTCTTAAGGGGCAAAAGATCTTGTTAAAATAGGTAAAGAAATAATAAATAAGACTTACTCACAATTGATTGTGAGTAAGTCTTATTTATTATTTCTTTACCTATTTGAAATGGACTCACACAAGCAACACATTCATAGTCTTGTTAAACTTCACTGGTCTTTCTTATATCACCATATTTTAACATAAATTCATTGAAATTAGGTCCAAAACTATACTTGTTTTCATGTTGGAAGGTTCTTGCTTCTTCTGTATCATTTGAGCCAGACTTGGGGCAAGACGATTTATGTGATCAACTTTTTAGTATCCCATTTGGGAGTTTCTAGATTGATCTATCACTTCATTTATTCTCTTTTTAATTTTATATCAACATATTCATTGTCTTTGAAGTTTATAGATTATATAAAATGGACACAACCCAACATCAAAAAAGCGGGGTCTGGCAAGTGGCTTTATTCATAGCAGATTGGTAGGCCATTAGAAACAAATAAATATACTGATCTCAATCTCTTTGATATTTGGATACAACTTTGGATAATTGATATTCTCTCAACTATTCCATCTGACTGAGGATGCATAAGTTGTTGTTCTGGTATTATTGGCAAAAGTTTTTGAAAAGTGCCGATTAGAAATTTTGTCCTTAGTCTAAGTGGATTTCTAGGAGAATGTCAATTCCAATTTCAACAATTTAGTACAGCTCACAAGTTTTTTCAGAAGGTCCATCTCCAATATAAAGTGTCTGAGGTTTCAGTAAGTAATATTTTGTGTATAATTGTCATCTGGCCAGTACATACCAGCATAGTAACTTCTTCAAATGTTTTAATTATCTCACCAGTAGCTGTTCTAGTTACTGACACCAGTGATAATCCAAGGTGGTGTCTTATTATTTTTAGTCTTGCAATAGTTCTTGTTGCACCTGTATCAATCAACAATGATCTTTCTTGGCTATTAATACAACTGTTAATATACAAGCTGTGAACTCTTGCATGTTGTATTTCTTTCCTGTAAATGGTTGAATAGTCTTTAACAGTTTTCGTGACATAAATTAAAAAAGTTTGTACAAAAGTATCTCTGCATTACCCCTTTAATGCTCTAAATATATTTGAGCGTCAATTAAAACAAATTCTTTTTTGAAAATACACATGTCAACATTAATTGTGAGATATAATGACAATTAAAGTGATCCTCGCCTATATGTATGTTGAATATTTTTGTAGTATTAATATAAATTGTAACAAATATGCATCAGTAGTTTATTAATTCAATTAATTAAACATATATTGTAGATATTCCCTTTTGAAAAATGCTTTAAAACTTTGGTCCTACTTATTGTAATTTTTCTTGTGCAGAAAATTCTATATTTTTAACTTTTTTGTTGGAACTGAGGATGTTAATTATTAGTAATAATAAATAATTGTTATTCAAACCTTACAAGATAACATGGAGGAAGATCTGGAAAGTATAGGTGCATAGAGAAATTTTTTAGAAATATACTGACTATATGGATAGTTATGCTCACATGATGCAGATATAGTCTGGTAAAGCCAGAATCTACTAAAGTAACACCGACAATGCACAGATATGTTCTCGTCAGAAAAATTTAAGTATTTGCCTTACTAGCCATGGATGGTTTACATATTTCACTGCAGGTTCATGTTCATTGACGACGCATTTGTGAATATCAGTAGTTAATTAGTTGCATGCTTTTAACACATCTATTCTTTATTTATTTTACATTAAAATTTTTGCAAATTCTTGCTTTTTATGACGTGCCATTCTGCCTCTGTATAATGATACTAAATACAAATTAAATAACTAATCACTATTCTTGTAATTTTAGTCAAATGTTGATTCCATAGACACTGGAGCCATCAAATTCATGGAGAAGAAAATAGTTGAATATGAAAAAAGTAAGTAACAATGAATTATGTTTTTTGTTTTTTATATGAGCAGCAATCAAGCAATGAAGTTATTAAAAATAATAATTTTTTGTCTTAACTGTATAGACGGTTTTGACAGTTGAAATGTGTAGGATGAGATACAACACAAAGACTCTAATTTATAGTAGAAGCCAAAGTTCAAATGCAGTGCAGGTAAGATATGAAATGTATTTCCTACTGGTGAACGGCCGACCACGTTGCCAGTTGGCCCAGAGCGGCGCATCAGGACCGGATTTAAGAATCATAGCACTGGAATATATGCGCACGCAACAGTTGCCTACCGTTGTATAAAAGACTGATTATTGTGTCAACTAAAGCATTATTCAATCATTGATGTATAAATAAGAGTTAAATTGTCAAACTAAGCAATAACATGAAGAAAAATATAAAAAAAGCAAGCATATCAAAAATTCGTTCTTGATAGCGTACCTATATTTATCAATTTTCAATAGCTTCCATTGTAAATACATTCTTTGGGAAATAAAGATCATTATACATTCATTAGGAGAAGCAAATCAGTTTTAATCCCCATTGTCCATGCAAAGCAAACATGTCGATTTGGGTACTGGCCATTAGGCCAAAAACTTGTTGGCAAAAACTATGAAACTCAATTCTATTTTATTTTCGCAAGCGGATGAAAGTACCTACATCATGGAGCCGTTGCCAGTATCTGTCGTGAATTTCAAATAGGATATGACTATTACGTGCAAGTAAAACGTGTGGTGATAAATGTATTGAACTATCATCTAACTTAAAAAATGACAACTTGACTATTACTGTGGAAAAAGTTTCAAAAATGTGCGTGAGTGTTCGCAAAATTTATGACATCCGCAAAGAGGTCCAGCAACGCGAACTGAAACCGGTACACAAAAAAGGAAGAAAAACAGTTTCCAGTCCAATTCACGTGAGAATACTTTCGATGAGGGAATGAAACCTCGAATAAGGAAAATTTTCTGTAATTTTTTTGGAAAACACCACCAGCCGTTTTGAATATGGTAAAAAAGGTCGAGATTTTATAATGACGAAAGGAAAAGATCTGATATCCTGGAGACACAAGTACCTCAGACAAATAAAAACCTTGAGGAAGATAGACCTTGTTATACAGATGAGTGTTGGGCTAACGTCGGTGCTTCAATCAAAAAGGAGAAAGTTGGAGAAAGCTCCAACCCAAAGATGTCCTCGGTTTGTTCTTCATGCTGGAAGCGAAACTGGTTTTGTGGCATGGGCCAAATTAACTTTCATGGGATGGAAGGGAACCGCTGATTACGACGACGAAATGGACGGGGATCTATATGAAGAATGGTTTGAGAAGACCTTAATTCCAAACTTGCCGAAAGACAAAGAAAACGTTGTCGTTTTGGATAACACGTCATACCACTCCCGCAAATTTGATTTTTCGAAAAAAATTGTGGAACAAAAGACAAATCAAGGATAGGCTAATCGAAAAAAACATTTTCTTCGAGGAAGATTACCTAAAAAGTGATTTACTGGATACTGCGGCCGCATTTGGCAACGAGTACAAAATTGAAACAATTGCGGATAAATATGGCGTTAAGATTTTGAGACTGCCGCCTTACCATTGCGAGCTCAACCCGATTGAGATGGTGTGGAGTCAAGTGAAAAGGTATGTGGCTTCAAACAACGTCGATTTTAAAGACAATAACGGTAGAATGGTTGATACAAGAAGCTTACCAACGAGTATCTAAAGAGCAGTGGCATGATTATGTGATCCATGTCAAGAAAGTAAAAGAAAAATGTTTGCGGTGGACAATTTGCAGGAAGATATTGAATCGGTGATACATTAATATAGATGATTCAGAGGATGAGACGGAATTTAATATGGATTACAATTAGTATTAATTAACGAGAAATATCTCAGATTTAATGCTCATTTGTTTTTTTAGTACTGTACGTACGGTACTACTTGAATTTTCTTTATATGCGTATATAAGTACTTGCGTGGTATTAGATATATTCTCTTATTTAACTCATTTAAATCAATGAGTGAAGATTTTTTAAACAAAGCGAGTACGGTCCTAATTTCTCAGTCTATCATCAAACTACCACACACCTACCACTGTGCAGACATGAGCGGCACCGCTGCGCTCCGTAAGATCAACACTGCATTCTAACTGGTTTCTACTATAGGGATCCATCAATTTTTTAGTGGAAATATGCCAAACAATGAACTCATTATCACCTAAAAACTTAACTATTTAGATATTTGACCTCAACAGACTATTTTTTGTAAGCATTAATACTTATTAAACAGTTTTGTTAAACTTTATGTATAGTATATATTATACTTTATTCATAGTATAATCTAAATAAACTATTTTCTTCTTTTTTAGCCATTTCTTCTCTTGTTCAACGAGTGAATGCCTTAGAATTAAGAGTAGCTACTTTGGAAAAATCAGATAGTCAGAGCAAACCCGTAAGCCAAATCAATATACAATCAGTACATTCATCAAAGCCTGTCGCTAATGATGATGACGACGACGATGTCGATCTTTTCGGTTCAGATTCTGATGAAGATGATGAATCAGCAGCCAAAGTCAGGGAAGAGAGACTCAAAGCATATGAAGCAAAAAAATCAAAAAGTAACTAATAAAAAAGATTACCAAATATTGTTTTAAAATAAATATTTTTTAGAACCTGTATTGATTGCTAAATCCAATGTCATCTTGGATGTGAAGCCTTGGGATGATGAGACTGATATGAAACTAATGGAAGAAAATGTCAGAAAGGTTGAAGCTGATGGACTTTTATGGGGTGCAGCTAAACTAGTCCCTCTAGCGTATGGAATACACAAATTACAAATCTCATGTGTTGTAGAAGATGAAAAAGTTTCTATTGATTGGTTAACAGAACAACTGCTAGAAATAGAAGATTTTGTAAGTTTCCTTTGTGAAGTTATTATTTGTTTGTGATAAGTTGAGTAGGTGGTGTGATAATATTGTTAACTGTTTTACTCTTTTTATGAACTCTGAAATTAAATCAGTTTTCATTTATGATTTCAATCTGACATATTAGTTTAGTCCGAAATGTCTAGGTGGTTTTAGGTGAAAGCCATTAATTTCAGTATAACATATATGATACTAACCTACTAACTTTATTACTATTAATATTATTATTATACTGATGACCAATTTTTTTTTTTAGATCCAAAGTGTCGACATTGCAGCATTCAACAAGATCTAAATTGTGAAATTTCTCTATTGAATTTATATTGATTCTTTTTAATTGATTCTTTTTAATTGATTTGATAAATAAATTAATTACACTAATACTAGTATTTCATTCCTTACTTCCTTCCTTTTGCTTCAAATATTGTCAATGTATGTAAATGTATATCGGCCTTTCCATAAACCCATATTTCATATAGGGGGAAATGTATATAGGACCAGGAAGAATATGTTTTTTTTTAACAAAAACTTATAGATAAGTAATAATAAATTAATTACTATTAAACTGGGAATAAGTCACAATTAAAGATAAAAATACGCTTATTGACGTATTTTTATTTTTAATTGTGGCTTATTCCCAGTTTAATAGTAATTAATTTACAATGCCACAAGAAAATAGCTTCAGAACAATATTAAGTAATAATAAGTTTGTAAAAAAATTTTACAAATTGTATATACTACTATGCTCTTCCGAGCGCTAATAATATTTAAACATATGTGTGAGATCTGCCATAATGCAACTGAATTCGGACATTGGATTATATGGACTAACAAAAAGGAAAAATATGCATACAGTATGCTCTAATTAAATTTATCAATATGAAAACGTGAAGATGTACAAAAGGTGAAATTATTTCAAGTACATATTTTGTGATAAGCTGTGGAATGTTGATACACCAGATCCACAAGATCTAGTATTTTTCAGTTGTTTAATTAGCATTTTATAGAATTCGTCCTGGGTAAAGGATTATAAAACCATTTTTGTTATTGACCATGGGTCCAATGACCCAATAAAAATGTCCCTGGGCTTGTAGTCTATTAACACGTTATTTATAAAATGTGATTTGAATTTTTGACTCCGATGGGAGTCATGCGTACCTGGCTAAGAATTTCTAGTGTATCGCTGACTGGCTCCGATCGGCACAGGCAAATAGAACATTATTTTAGAAAAATAATATAACGGAATTTTAGAAAAAATAAGTTTATTCTATAAAATACAGAAAGATTCACATTTTGATGCATATATGAGCTATTTCAAAGCATGCAACACAAAAACCGGGTTTGATCAGGATATGTTTCGCAGTAATATGTTGTCTGCTTTCTATTTTTGTTTTCAGAGCATATTTTGCAACGCTTTCTCTTGTTCGTCCCTTATTAACCATAGGAATTTTTGAATAACTATGCCTGAAGCCAGGAATATTACTTGTTTTTCACACCTTGAAGGGCCCGGCATACTTTCCGTCATTTTACCGTCGTAAAAATCAACGGGTTAAGGTCGATTCAGACACATCAGTCTCGGCGCCGAACCGGTCCTGTTTAGTCACACTACTATCTGACAGCTGGCAAACTGTTCGTCAACTGATGAATATGAATGCCGGCGCCATATTTCTATTAAAGAATATTTTGTATGACGGATTGTTCGGTTCGGCGCCAGGACTGTGACGAGACGTGACTGATGTGTCTGAATCGACCGTTACTGTCCCTGATAGGATTCATGCGCACCTAGCAAAGGACCACTTTGATCTTAGAGGGAGATCTATAGCAGTTTAACAATTAATACATACCTACTGAAATACCATTTATTTCAAAATGTTTATCGAGTATTACATTACAAGACAAAGTATTTTTTAACCAGATTACAGTATCACACCAATACCTGATGATATACAATCATGAATGATAGACGCTGAAAGGTCCCATATTTCAGACAAAAAAGAAAATATATAGAATTAAATCCTATAATTAATAAATAATTGATTTTATCAACACACAAAGTAACAGATGCTTTAGTTTGTTTTTTTTTAATTGTTTGGGAATTTCCATTACATTGTTTATTATTAACGATTTTGTTCTTGCCATTACTGAAATACATCAGTACTATAGTAAACCTGAACCGGATGATAGGTTTTTATAGAGTTTTAACAATATGGAAGGCAAAAATAGTTACTGCAATATATTTCGGAAGGAGAAAAAATTATATACAACGTATATTGTGGACTTTGTGAAAGAAATGAAAATATGTTTCAAAGCACAGAATCATAAACAATCAGACTGGCCACTCTGCTTGAAAAATAAGTTCGCGCGGACTGAATCGGCCATGTTTTAATCGGAGCCAGTGCTGTTCAGTGACGTTTTATCTGGTGTGCATAGAAAAATTAACCCGGTTTAATTAATTTACAGCAACTATAGACATAATATGCACTATTTTATTCGTACTTTTAGTTGAAGAATGGATCAAATTATTTCAAATGTACTAAATTATTTATCTCTAAAAATTTAAATTACACTTATGTCGTATAGATTGTCACAAATTTCTCAATTTCCGTTTAAAATATGGCGATCGCGTGCTGACTTTAAATGTTCTAATTGTTATTTATTCTGTGTCCAAAATATCAATACGTATTATTGCGAACATTCAGGAAAATGAAAATTAAATATGTGAATAAAAGTAGGAACAATCTTTAAAAGAAAGAGAAGGAATAATTTGGTGGCAGAGTCGCTAAATCAACGCCATACTGTCTCAAAGGTATAGCAAGATTTTAAAGTTAGAAACCGTCGACAAACATTATTGAAGGGTTATCATCGGAACTGAAAACTCTAGCAGGCAAAGGACGGAGACTCATTTTAACACACATAGGCAGTGATTCGGTTTTTTTTATAACGGCTTGTTACTCTTCGAATCCAAGAAAACCAATGACTATCATGAAGAATATAATAGTGCTAGGGTAGATAAGGGGTTACATAGAGTTAAGGTGTTTATTTCAAAACCTCAATTGCTTTTTAACTATTTATGATCTGATCGTATTGATAAAAAATCATTTTGTGAGATACCTAATATGAAAAAAAACATATCAAAGTGTGGAGTAGCTTCAATAGAAAAAAGTCGATTTAATTCTGAAAAATTAAAATAAAATCCCGATTCAAATCCTGAAATTTTGCCACTTATTTTTCTAGAGTTGGTAGCATTGACAGTTCTTTATATGACATACTTGATCGTACTTCAATTAATAAAACTCATTTGACATTACCGAATTCTGAATCTGAATTTGTTTCATAAATATCTGATCATCAAAAAGAAACGCATTTTTTAAAAAAATGTTCGTTACAAGAATACTTAGACCAGCAGCTGTGCAGTAAGTATAATTTGATAATAAATACATAAGTATGAGAATTAAATCAAATAATATAGACGGCGACATGCACCTGTAAAAATTACTAATTACGTAATTTTTTCAAAAAAAAAAACTATTTTAGGAATGTCCGATTCATGTCACAATTAGGAGACCTAGGAAGCGGTGCCGGCAAAGGAGGCGGTGGAGGTGGTTCTATTAGAGAAGCCGGTGGTGCCTTCGGCAAGCAAGAAGCGGCAAGAGAGGAGGAATACTTCTACAAAAAGGTTAGATGCACTATATATTTTACGAATTTTATAGATTTCGAAGTCACTTTATTATCATAATCTTGACTGTACAACTGAGCTCTACAACTATAGACCTTTTCCATTTTTGTACCACAAAAATTTGGGTAACAATAAGGTGAAATTTAAAATTGTATATCTTTGTATTTGTATAGAATTCAGAGCCCTAGTGTAGATGAGAACAAGGAGTAGATAATCAAAATCGGGTATATGCTAAAATTATATCTATGTTTGTACTTATTATTTCTCACTTATTGTGTTAATGTGTAAGTATATATTTGTATAGTGTTCTATGAGTTATTAGACCAATTTCGTTATCTATTGTGAACCTATTACATTTTGAATTAAAAATCCAAATTTTTTCCATGAGGTAAAACTTTATCTATTAGTATGATTAGTCTCTCTATATTCTCTCTGTATCTCTCTTGATCCATCCAGAAATTATTTGATATTTTTCCTCATACAAGATGTTTGGTAGTATTTTGTTAATATATTGCCATTTAATTTTATTTTGGGTTGCCAAAATAGAGGTGTGATACTTCTGAGCAATAATATAAGATACTTATTTCTAAAATATTATTTTATTGTTTTTTTTTATACATTTTATACAGTTTTAAGTAGGAATAGAGTTGAAGATTAGTAGGGTTTAAGTCGGAATGCAGTTCTATTATATTGTAAATGTTTTATAACAGTCAAATATTAAATAACATTTATGAGATCAATTACTTTATATATTCCGAAGTGAATTTTAAATGTTGTAGCCTTAACCAATCTTATCAGTTTATCGGGGTTGTGAAATTCATCCATGGCTTCATACAATTTATTTCTTAGGACACTATCATAGGCCGATTTAAAATCTTTGAAAAGATGGTATGTGTCGATATTGAATTAATTGATTTTTTCCAGTATTTGCCTTAGCACAAAGATCTAGTCTGTTGTTGATCAACCAGGCCTAAAACCACTTTGATATTTGCCAAGAAGCCCCTCTGAATATGCACTCAGGCGACTATATAAAATATATACTTGAAAATATTTTGTATACACCACTCTTCCGGGATTTGTTCCTCATTCCAGGCTCTCAGTATGATTTTATATATATGGTTAGTCAGAGTAGCACCTCTACATTTAATAAGTTCGGCAGGTATACCATCACTTCCTGGAGATTTATTATTTTTTAGGTGTTTTATTGCACCTCCCACTTCTTGAATTGATGGAGGCTCCAATGGTGTATTGTGGCTTGCTTCTGGGGGTGGTTGATTTGGATCTTCTACACTGATAGTAAGTAGTTCTTTGTAGTGTTCCACCCACCTTTTCAATACTTCTTCTTTTGTATTGAGTATATGCCCCTCCTTATCCTTACATAGTCTCATCCTTGGTTTAAATTCTTTTCTTGCATTATTCAGATTTTTATAGAATTTTCTTGTTTGATTTTCCTTTTTTAATGCTTCAACTTCTTCAAGATAAAATAATTAACGGATTTAATAAACAAAGAATCCCAAGATTTATATACATTAAAACAATAGACAAAAAAGTTCAAAGAAGTGAGTATCAATGAAGTTTAGTAGAAAATAGATATAATTAGAATCAAAGTTGAGAATCATACCTTAGGTATCATATGCCAATAGTGTATTGTTAGTCATAATCTTCCACATAGAAGATTTTTGTGAATAACATGCCTTTAAAAAGTTATAACTGTAGTACCGTTGTATTATTTATTATCTTGTCTTCAGATCCTTGCTTGTTATATGGTACAATGTATAGAGTCACATTTAAGTTCGATCCCTTACCTGCTTGGCATAGCTAATAGGCTGAGTAATATTCTGTAAATCTGTGACTAATGTACAGCTCATTGTGCCTTAATTACTCATATTATAAGAGAAACAAAATTATTTGAGAGATTAAGTATTCAATAATATTTTTATCTACTTAATACAAATGTCTTTGTCTCCTTTATAGAAGCAAATTCATGTTTTGTTTTATTTTAGCAAAAGGAACAGTTGCAAAAGCTAAAAACTGATCTTAAAGATGAAATAAGCTTCCACGAAGAACAAATTAAAAGACACCAAGAAGCTATCTCTCGCCATAAGTCCCGAGTTACTGAGTTAGACAAGAAGGAATAGTGAGTTCCTATGAATCCTCAAATTTAGTTACTCTTTATTTTCATTCATGTATGTTTTAAGATAGTGTATTGCTTAATATTTTGATTTCTTAATAAACAATCACTTGTTACAGTGTTTTTTTTTAATTAAATTTTTCATCTGCTGTCATAAGCATTTCTGCCCATAGATATTTAGTTTTATCAAAGGTGTTGTTTATAAAAAGTTCTAAATGATCTAAAACAGAATACAATCATCAGACATTAATTTTTTTTAACCATGTTAGTAATGTTCTTTTTTATTTAAACACAACACCACATCAACCACACAGGGTTATTAGTGGGTATAACAAATACATGAAATATTACATTAAATACAATTGAATAACTTGATGTCTTTTAAATAGGTTAATACTGTTGAGATATTTTTTTAGTGAGAACTGTTTTGAGATCTGTGAATCTGTGGGATCTTTTTTTTTCCATGAATTGAGGACAATCAAGCAGGATATGTTTGACAGTTGGTAGGTTAGAGCAGCTGGAGCAGATAGGTAGTGGATCTTTTGTTATAAGGTATTTGTGTGTTAAGACAGTATGGCCAATTCTTAGACGGTTAATAATAACTTGGTTTCTTCTGTTTAAAAGAGTCTCCAGGACAGCATTTATTTTTGGACAAATTACATTTAATTTTGTACCCAATTGTTTCCCAATGATTTTGCCAAGTATTAGTACAGTGGATTTTAACAGTTTTTTGACAGTGTACATATGTTTTCAATTTGCAGTATGGTTTGAGTTCATTCGACTTTTGTTTGCCAGTTGATCTGCTTTTTCATTTCCGTAAATACCTGTGTATGAAGGTACCCAAGTATGATAATGCACTTCATTATTCTACTCTTTTTGAAGAAGATTAGAGCTTCCAAAATAACTGTAGCCTCACCTGTTAGTATACTGCAGTTTGTTGGTATCAATATGCTATAAGAATTTTCTTTACAGTAGTAGGCAGCAGCGTGACCATTGGGAGTTTTAGAGGCATCAGTAAAGATTTGCAAATAAATAGGATAGTGGTCTAGAATTTTCATGAATAGAGATTTAATTATTGTGGAATTTGTAGTTGATTTGAGATACTTTGTAAGTGTTAAGTTAATGGGTGGCTTGTCCATGGGGGATAGTTTGCATTTATATGTAGAGATACATTGAGATGTTTCCTATCGAAAGTTTTGAGCTTTATTCTTTCTATGAGGGGTGTATAATTTTTAGTCTTATTGTTATGATGACGACCAGGGTTGCAGATGTGGAAAAATACAGGATGCTGTTTCTGGGATGATATCTTTGCAATGTAGTTCAAGGATAGTTGCTTTAGAAGAGACAGAAGCCTTCTGTCTGCGGCTTCTGTACATAATGTAGTTCGTCTATTTTTTTAAAATTTAAAAGTGTTTGTCCTTGTGTAGTGTAGTGTGATGTACTATTTTATGTTTTTAAACATTTTATTCTTGTCGGATAGGCCGCAATTGATGAAATGCCCCTGAAGATGCTCTAGGAAGCGAAAGTACTTAGGCAAGATTAAATTAATTAAACTGTGCTCGATATTTGCCTTTTATTTCATCAAAGTTCATTTATTTGAGCATTCAACCTTATATCAACTAATTAATATTTTATAATCAGCACCGCAAATTTTGTTGGATAATATTTTGAGTATATTTAGTCTCTTTTGGCAGGAAAGCTGTAGTTTATTTATGTGCGAATTCCAATTTAAAGTTCTCTCAAAAGTTAAGCATATAAAGTTTATTTCTTTTGACTGTTCTAAAGGTAAATTATTTAATGTTAGACTAGTTGTGAGGTGGGTTTTATTTTTATTAAAAATAATGTATCATGTTTTTTTCAATAGAAAAAACAAATCCTGTTTTTATCGTCAAATTATAAAGCCGATTTAGGACACTCTGTATAATTTTAGTTGCTGTCATTACATTATTCGATTTAGTATAAATAACAATGTCATCTGCGTATAGACTAGCTTTAATGGGTGCTTTAATTACATCCATAATACTATTAAAAGCGATTAAGAATAAAGGTGGACTAAGAATCGAACCTTGAGGAATTACATTGTCTAGTATCTTAGATGAGCTTGTAACACCATTTATTCTAACTTGAATCGAGCGATTTAAAAAAAAATTACAAATGCAAGTATGTGACCTTGAATGCCAGTATCTTGCAATGTTTGTAGAATACAGTGCCTTCATGTTCTATCGTAGGCTTGGGTTATATCGAAAAATATTGCTCATTAGTTTTTGGTTATTTGCAAAAGCTTCATTAATTAAAGTCTGTAATGCAACGTGATTATCTAATGTGGATCTACCTCTTCGAAAACCACTTTGGAAGGGAGTAAGAAAGTTATTAATTTCTAAGTACCATATAAGGCGGAGGTTTAAATGTTTTCTAGGATCTTGCTCATGCAACATGTAAGAGAGATGGGTCGGTAAGAGGTAGGGTTATCTTTTGGTTTGTTAGGCTTAATAATGGGAATGATTATTGCTTGAGACCTAAGATCTGGGAAATTAGTCATATGTTGTTTGCCAAAAAATTAGAATTTTATGTAAGAGTTAATAATATCCACAATTCATATTTTTTGACAAACCGGTTATATAACTGAAGAAATTTAATATTTGATTATTGTTTTTAGGTTTTAGAACATGCAGAACTTTTTATAAACAATAACTTTTTTTCATAAAACCAAAGATAGAAAGTTTCCTTGTTGTGCAAGGAAAACACTTAATTGGACACACTTTATATATAACTTTTATAAGAATTGGAAGGGCAAAAGAGTTAGTAGATTATTATTCAAAAAAATAATGACATCCTATAATGATCACACAATAATGGTATTTTATGCTTCCTATGGCCTTAGAGGAATGTCTAAAAGTAAATGAATATCATTAACAAGTTAAGTGCCAAGCTATATTTTTAAATTAGTCCTACAGGCCAACCGAACTTTGAGAATTATTACTGTTAAATATTTAACGTCATTGTTATAATTTTTTTCAAAAGTAATTAATAACGAAAAAAATGTCAATATCCGATGATCCCGATGCGGCGTAGAAAGAGTTTGAAAGTCACTTCACGCCACGCCGGTTCATCTTCGTAGGTATAGTAGGGAGAGAGAGTTTTGGCAGGCCACGCCACGGCCATCATGCACGCAGAGATTAGTGACAGTGTAGCTGGAGTACTTGTCGATATATGTTGAATCGCTCAAATAGTTCAGTATTTACTGTAACACAATGAGTTCACGAAATATATGATTTTTATCAGAATATAACTTGAACAAATACTAAATAATATGCCCGACGAAGAAGATGAACATGAATTTAGTGATGATTCAATTATGAACGTAATTATGAACCTAATTCCGATAAAATCTCTGATAATTCTGAAGACAAACTGGAAACTTTCGAAGAATGTAAGTTGATTTACTAAGTATTATATATTTTTGTACCCATTGTTATAATATTTGTAGTCGAAGATGAATGAGCTAAAAATGTTTTAACACTTTATTATTTTTAGCACTAAACACACAAGGACCCGGCACGGCAGTTTACTTAAAGGAGGATTAAACAAAAAATGTATCATATTTGTGACACTGACTCAGCCAGTCAATCGACAGTTTGGACTGGTAGTATGGACCTCTATAATAAGAATCTACCATGCGGTCCATATGTATGGAATAAATTCATTTTTAGCGTTATTATTGTACCGTTTTTAAATAAAACGAGCGGTTCGAATTTATATAAATATATTTATTTATAACTTTACAGTTCGATACTATCTTATAAACTAAACTTAACTCCTAATTCCGTTACATATATATACCTAAGTTACTATTTTCTAGAAAGTTCCCACCTCTAATTCGCGCACGTGGCCCATTGTTCTCTTGCCTTCGAGAGATCTAAGGATGATTCTGGAAGCCGTTTCGAGATGTAACCGTTATATGAGTCATGCCGAAAGCATGTTCGTAACACTGCTCCCCTCTTAGATCTGAGCGTCCCGATCAGCAACTCTATATGTAGGCCCAGGATGGCGGAATCTACAGGACTCTCCAGCTCTGCATGAACCCCTCATAAAGAAATAACAGTCTACTGTCTTTGAAGGACACGATCTCTTCGGATTAGTGCAACACACAGTAATTCGTACGCCGGTTTCCCGGAAGATCACTTCAAGCATGCTTCTGACAATCTTCCAATCCAGATTATCTAGTGCATGGCCTATCTTGGGTAAGGCCAAATTCTTAATGTCGTAATTGCAGACGATTTTCTTCAAATTAGTTAGAGCACACCATATATCCTCGTAGGTTGCCCTGTCTGTATACGACTTCCTGGTCACCATATACAGCAAAGATCGAGAACCATCTTCTAATCTCAGTACTCTTCCAACTTTAGGCTGCTGGTTTTTTAACTCGTCCAAACGACCGAACTTCTTATAAAATACAGATGAGATTCCTTTAGTCATCTCAAGATCTTGGGCAACACAGTGGGCTAGAGAGACGTTATGCGGAACACTAAAAAGATCCTGCTGAACTTCTGTCGTCACGCCGAATCTAGCATTCTTTCTCTCTGCGTAATTTGACATAAACTCCTTAAAGCTTGGTCGCCGTTTATCTTTGATCTCATGTTGAAGGATTCGTGCTTCTTCTGTTTCATTTGAGCCAGCATAAGGTGCAAGCCGATTTATGTGAACTACTTTTGGTTTACCTTTCGGTAACTTTTTAATTCGGTATATTACGTCATTTATTCTCTTTTTAATTTCATACGGACCCTCCCATTGTCTTTGCAGTTTAGGAGACAAGCCACGACGACGTTGTGGATTATAAAGCCAAACAAGATCACCTACTTTATAGCTTTCATTTTTGCATCGAGAATCATATTGATCTTTCATTCTGTCACTGGCTAACTGGATGTGTTGTCGGGCAAGTTCATGAATGTTGTTCATTCTTAACTTTAGGCGGTCGACATAATCTTCGCTTGCAACATATTCTTCAGAAGGTCTGCAGCCAAACTCTAGGTCGCAGGGCAAACGAACTTCACGACCTAACATCAGGCAGGTTGGAGTCTGGCCCGTAGTTTCATTCACAGCCGAGCGGTACGCCATTAGAAATAAATGAATGTGCTGGTCCCAATCTCTTTGATGTTCTGATACAACTTTGGACAGGTGTTTACCCATCGTTCGGTTCATTCTCTCGACCATTCCATCTGATTGAGGATGAAGGGGTGTCGTTCTGGTCTTATTGACGCCAATCAATTTACAAACGTTTTGGAAAAGGTTTGACTCGAAGTTTCGCCCTTGGTCGGAGTGGATCTCCAAGGGAACACCAAATCGGCTAAAGAATTCTTTAACCAGTACCTCTGCAACGGTAGCAGCTTCTTGATTTGGTAGCGCATAGGCCTCAGTCCATTTCGTAAAATAATCCATGGCTACCAGGATATATTTATTTCCATCATTTGTCTCTGGAAGTGGACCTGCAATATCGATTGCTACTCGTTCCATAGGACTACCAACATTGTACTGTTTCATGGGTGCCCTCTTTTTACCAACTGGACCATTACTGGTTGCACACAGTTCACATTTCCGGCACCATCTTCTTACATCATCTTTACAGTTCACCCAATAGAATCGTTCTCGAACCTTTTGCAGAGTCTTCGTAATACCAAAGTGTCCACCTGATGCACCGTCATGCAACTGACGTAATACTTCTGACACTTTACTTTTAGGTACAATCAACTGAAACTTAGTTTCTGTACCATCATCGTTCTCAAAGGTTCTATAAAGGAGATCATCTTTTAGCACTAGGCAATTCCATTGGCTCCAGTAACACTTGACTTCAGGACTACATGCACTAATGTCTTGCCAAGAAGGCCTTTCACTTCGATGCATCCAATCCAATACTCTCTTTATACATGGATCATCTGCTTGAGCGTCTTGTAGCTGTTGTGGCTGCCATTGATCATTAATGACGGTGGTTCGTCTCACGGGGCAAAGTCTTTCTTCTAATTTAAGACAGTGATTACAATATTCACTGCACGGCCTTCTCGAAAGCGCATCAGCATTTAAATGAACTCTTCCAGCTCTGTGTTCGATCTCGTAATCATATTCTTGTAATCGTTCTAACCATCTTGCCATCTGACCCTTAGGAATCGATCTTAGGATATCTGCAGCATCACCTCATAAAGCAGCAGTCAAGGAAACGGCTTTTTCTTGTTCTGTCCAATGATTGGCTGTCGCAATAGCTTCAAATTGTCTAAGGTATATGGACCAAGAGGACTTTCCATCAAATGGTGGCAATTTGAATCTCATATGATGTGTCGTTTCGTCTCTCGGTGATTCTTCTTTCACTACCGGATCTAAGGCTACTGTGTTAACTGGTGGTAGCATTTTTGTGTTAGTTATCATGCTCTCTAACTTTTTGATCTTCTCTTCTACGTCTTCTATCTTGTCGTTTACATTTTTCTGTATCTTATCAAATGTTTTAGAAACTTCGTCAAATTTTTCATTGTTCTTTTTAGAAGTTTCTTCCATCATTTGAGAAACATTTTCAAATTTCTCGTCGAATCTTTGAGATACATTTTCGAATTTCTCATCGAATCTTTTGGAAACGTTCTCTAATTTATCATCATTTTTTTTAGAAGTAACCTCAATCATTTGCGAGACGTTCTCAAATTTCTCGTCGAATCTTCTAGACACATTTTCCATTTTCGTTAAAACTGCTTCTTCTGCTGACTGGAACTGGAATGTCTCTGGGTCTTCTCCATTCTTGTTGAGAACAGTCTTCAGTCGTTCTTGTAGTATCTTCTTGGACCCACTGCAGTCTTCATCGCGTTCTTCTAGTTGCTCACGCAACTGTTTCACTGAAAGTTCTACTAGCAGCATCTTTGGTCAGGCACACACGTACTTTTTGAAATGTTCTTTGGTACAACGTTCACTACCGAACTACGCGGATGTTCCCGACGAACAATACTTTTCAAAAGTTCAAAAGTCTTTTTCAAAAATTCAAGTCTTTTTCAAAAAATCACTGTTGCATTTATATTCAAATCTCACACCGGACACCAACTGTACCGTTTTTAAATAAAACGAGCGGTTCGAATTTATATAAATATATTTATTTATAACTTTACAGTTCGATACTATCTTATAAACTAAACTTAACTCCTAATTCCGTTACATATATATACCTAAGTTACTATTTTCTAGAAAGTTCCCACCTCTAATTCGCGCACGTGGCCCATTGTTCTCTTGCCTTCGAGAGATCTAAGGATGATACTGGAAGCCGTTTCGAGATGTAACCGTTATATGAGTCATGCCGAAAGCATGTTCGTAACATTATGTACTATGTGAAAAAAACCTGAAACAGGTCGATTTTTATTCTTAAATTGACAATTTACGGTATAGAAATATTATCCCCTTCCTCAACCCCCTTTGAATTATAAGCACTCCCTCGAAAATTTTAAATAATAAAGGGGGTCGTGTGAAACCTTGTTAGAAAGGGATTTTAGTCCTCTGTTCAGCAATATAAAGTTTTTTAAGTTTGGTGCAATCATAACTGAGAAAAGAGATTTTTAAGATGTAAAATTTTGATAACGTCTTATCACAAAACTGACTACAAAATAATCATAAATAACTACATATTGTGTGGATACCATCTCTTGTGCGGATACCAGGAAATGAGCTAGCTGATCAAATAGCCAAGAAAGCTTGTAAAATGGAGAGATCCGATGATAGAACTAACCAAATTCTTCACTCAGATATGAAAAAATGCATCAATGAGTACACAAAAAACTTATGGTTACGAAGATGGCAACTCTTACCAAATAATAGGTTGAGGCAAGCAAACCCAGATCTATCAGCGAAAACACCAATTTTAGTACATCGAAGGGACCAGGTTGTACTCCATCGTATCCGAATAGGACATACCAAACTGACGCACGAACACCTACTAAGGAAGGAACCTCCTAGAATATGCTACGCCTGTGACACCAAAATAACTATAGGCCACATTTTTATAGACTGTCCATTATATCAAATGGAAAGACAAGCTACTGGACTACCAAGTGATATAAAGTGCGCTTTAGACAGTGCGGATTGTGACAAAATCATTAGGTTTTTAAAGAAAACGAAATTGTATAATCAAATATAAGTGATACTTCAAGAAAAATTCTAAATTATAATCAACTTTGTAAAAACTTTATAGTTTATATTTTATAGTAATCATTATATATTATAGACTATATTGTACCACCGCTAATTACCTTCTTGGTGGATGCAGGTTATTCCCCAATAAAAAAACGAATTTTCTGTCTTATTTTGCAACTTTCTAAGCAACAAATAAGGATAGAAACATTCAAAAAACGTCATTGTAAAGGTTTTTGTGTGACATAAGTTTCTTACAAATTAGTTTTGTCTCAAATGCTCTTCTTTTTGCTGATAGACGAAAAAAACAAAAATTTACCGTTGTTTAACCTTAATTTGTTAATAACCAATTTAAGTCCAAAAATCGACTGCAGGAAACGTATAGGTTCTTGTTATAGAGTCCATACGACTCAAAACAACTGTTGTTTGCCTGGCAGGGTAAGTGTCGCGAGGAAAATCTTATTTTTCTGGACTAAACAGGAATAAAGGAAAAAATTCTCGCAGATAGCACTTAATATCCTAATAAAATTAATTTTCAAGAATAGCAGTTTGTATCAGAATTATAGAGGACCGAAGATACTCCAACTTAACATTCTTAAGATCTCTTATTATAATATTTGTTCTGCAAAAGGATAGTACGAGGTCGGAGTTACACAGAGGACTGCCACAGAATTGTTTCCGATTTTTAAGTGTTATAAATGGATATATGCCAGCAGCATTTACTGTCGATACCTTAAAATATGCAAAACAAAAGAACAGGCAGTATTTTTTACATGCTAATGTCAACCAGTATTATACTCGTGGAAATTAGGAAATTGTTTTTGTACAATAAAATATATTTTATTTTATTATTTTCTTCTTTGGTTTTAATGTCATAAAGAAAATCCTTTCTAACTACAGTTTTGTTGGGATCACCCCATGCCTACCTCATTTAAATATTTATTAAATTATTTGGATACAATTAATATAATTTAAAATGCTGAATACGTTTAGAATTTGCCTATTTAGTGATTTATTGATGTTTTAATACTTACCAGTGATACACAACGAAATAGCTATAAAGGTGGTACTTAATTAAAGGGTTTTTATGTTTAGTATAAATATTTTAATTTGACTGGTTTTTTTGATCAAGACGTTTGTGAACAGCCAAACAAAAAACTGAAGACTTATGTCAATTTAAGTATCTTATACCAAAGGACCTTTCACACAAATGATAAATTTACATTTGTGTAAAAGTGTTTAATTTACAATGAAACCTATCATGTTTCTGTAGAACTTCTAGAAATGAAAAGGAATAACATTGAAATATTAACGGGGTAAGAAACCTTTTGCTAGTAGAAAGGCAAAACAAAAATATAGTAAATTATCTATTGTCACAGAATAAAGACTTGTATGGGGCCAAAAAAGATGTCACAAAATTTTTGAGTCTATTTATGCAACTAACAGTACTATACTGTAGAGTTGATATAAAGCCAGAAAAAGGAAAAAGCTGCTGTCAAATTTCAAATTCGGTCAAAAGGTTAAACAACTCGCAACCGCAACGTCATATCAAAACTCAAAACACTTATCGACGGTAGTGTTATTATAGCATTGTATAGCCAGTTTTAAATTTGATTAACCTTGAATAGCCGATATATACCTTTACCTCTCTTTAATATTTATGATTTGAATTATTGTGCTACTTTAACTTGAGTGAATATATTTAAATTCTAAGTAGTTAGAAGCCGACGCCGATAGTACTCCACTTTTAAATCAACGGAGAAGTTCCTTAAGTTAGCGTTAAAAATGGTGCAGGTAAGTTCTACTTTACTATTTTACTATTTAAATTGTAATACCGGTTAACCGTTATAATTAATTAGTATTGTACGTGATTGTACGCTGGGCGATATCAATAACCTCAAAAAATTAGCAAAATAAATTTAAGAAAGTCATTGTCTTGTATGGTCAAATATTCTACTGACCAATGTTAAAGTAATTTGTTAAATGTTAATAAAAAATTACGAATTAAAAAGTAGTAATAGTCTAGGTAGTCGAATTAGGATGTGCTACTATGAATATACCTATTAACATATCTGTAAATACTTTATTTCTCATATTATATGAAGCAGGGGATGTTTCAGACTCTGATATTAAAAAAACTACCGTATTAGATGTAAAGGTATATTAATCTTCTTCTGCTTCTTCAATTGGCCCTACAGCACAACTTAAGCCTTGGCCTCCTGTAATTTCTGACTCACAATGCAATGTGGCCTACTTATCATCTTCTCTGATGTATGTTACTATTTAGACCTCTTCTTGGCAATCTGTCATCATCCATTCTCACTAATGATCAGCCCATCAAGTCACTGGAGTCTAGCGAATTCTGATGTGTTTGTGCTTTTTTGAACAGTTGGAAAGTTCATTATTATATGCAGATCTCCATTTTTCAGGTACATACAATGATAATAAGTATCATATATGTGACTTCCAATTTTATTGCAGGGTGTATCTCAGACTTAGCCTGAGTGATGTATTTGAGGAAATAATGAGTCTAAAAACTAAATACTCTTCAGGGCCTGATGGAACCCTAATGGTATTTAATAATAACTGTGTTCTTCCTTATGTACTTCTGTACAAGAAATATTCAATCTATCATTGTCATTTTTTAACCAGTGCTGTCTGTATCTCTAAAAAACTGAATATAATTTACGAATGACAGTTAAGATTTAATTTCAATACAAATCACCATCATTAGCTTATACATATTTCATCCTTTTGGACACCTTAGAAATGTGGATGTTACGAAGAATGTTCCGCATACCATGGACAGATAGGGTGAGAAACGAGGAAGTCTTAAGAAAGGCAAATATTGAGAGAGAACTACTCAATTTGATCAAGGTACGAAAAATTGGATACCTCAGCCATATTCTGAGAGGAAAAAAATACACAATCCCTCAACTAATCATCCAGGGAAAGATTGAAGGCAAGAGAGGAGTAGGCCGCAAACAAATGTCGTGGATATGAAACATAAAAAATTGGACAGGCATAAATAACACTGGCGATTTTTTGCATGCCGCAAAAGACAGACGTCTGGCGTTAAGATAATTCGCCAATGCACTATAGGTGCACAGCACTATAAGAAGAAGAAGGACACCTTAGAGCAAACTTGTTCAAAGCTCTTTCCTGTGAAATTTATGTCGAACTTGTGGAAGCATTTTCCTGAATTGATTTTGAATGAAATTAATATAAGGTGAACATAATTTGTAATGTATTTCTAGTTGGCACACTATTTAATTAAAAACTAATTCACCCTGTTTTGTGAGTAGCTGTTCATATTTCCATCTATATAGGAGTAATATTCGTTAGTAGTTACTGTTTTGAATAAACTTTTTCCAAAGAATATTTGCTAAAATATAGACCTAACCAAACTTTACATTGACAATGCCAAAGCATAATTATCATATCATCCAGCATGGTGACTAGCTACTACTGAGCTATATATTTATGTGATTACTTGGCCTATTACAAATACAATTTTTTTAAAACAGCTTGATATTAAATTTACATTGAAAACTCAAGTGGGAATAAAAATATCATAGAAAATATTGGGTCCTAACATATATTTGCAAAGTTGCAATGTATTAAATTATAGTCAAATGATCAAATGAGATAGGTTTTTTCAGATTATTCTAGCTAGAGCCTAATATTTAGTACATTACAAAATGTATACTCATTCACTGTACACTTTTACTGTTTTCATGCAAGAATTCTCATAAATTCTTTGAAATAATATTCTATTGGTGTTACCATTTAAAATAATGTTAATATTCTATTTAATAGCAGCAGTATTGCTACTTGCAAAGGATGGAAAAAGACAGCGAAGGGAATATGTCAGATTATGTAAAAAGGAAAGAAAGGGATTCAGTATCTTCATTTATGAAGAGTAAGAAAACAATAAGATCCCCTGCTAGCTAAAAGAGAAAAAAAGAGGAAGCAGACTTACTAAGAGAAATAAGAAAGGAAAATAGGGAATATAGAGAAGAGGCAATAAAATTAAAAAGTCAAACCTGAAAATAAAGGAGGAATTAGAAAAAACAGAGCAACATCTACATGAGTGGAAAATAGATAGAAAAGGCTTGAAAAGGAATAGAAAAGAGAATATTGTAGTAACTATTTAAAGATTGATACAGATGAAGAGAAAATAAAAGAAGATATGACAAATTATAATAAGAGTCCATCTAAATGAGGAGTAAATGTAGAAAGAGCAAGAAAATTAGAGCAGAAAACTTGTTTATCACAATTAGGAGAACACATGAAAAAAACATAATTATACAAAAAAAGAGTTAGCTGACAAAAGGGAGAAGAGGTATTCATAAATGATAATCTAACAATCAAAGAAAGAGAAATAAGAAAAAACATAACTGGAAAATGTAAAGAACTCAGGGTAAAACAGATTATAGTAGACAGAGAGGAATGGTTAGGGAAAAACAAAGGCTGTCTTACACTTGCTTTATTTTTTCTTATAACTGTTGTTGTTTTATCTTCAGTCTGTCATTTTTCAATATTAGCTTTGTACACCACAAATTTTTATGACAAAAAATTTAATAAGTACAGTGGACACAGGAAAAGGTACATATATTAAATAGAAAAACTATTGAGAAATTTATTACTATCACTCAGATAATTTTATCATTTAGAAAAATACTTTCACCATACATCCAGAGGAAAGAAATTGAAAATATAAGAATGAATAACAATTACGTTCTAGAATAATATACAATATGCAATAAAAGGTTTATTATCATTAATTAATAACAATCAAGTGATAAGGATCAATAATAAGTTATTGGTAAAAGTTTTAACCAAAAGTAAGTACATATTCCATACAGCTATGATTTTTCATCATAAATGAAAAATCTTCTGATATGCTGTTAAAAACAATCTAAATGATAAAAATGCATCCAGGAAGAAACAAATATACCTTCCACTGAGATAGAAATATTATAAAAGCAAGTATAAGTAAACTACCAAAGAAGTTTTACTGTAATAGAAAAATGTCAGCTAGTCAATATACACAAGTACATGTAATCGTCATTAAAAGGTAACTGAAACAATTTTGAGAGAATACATTATGAAAGAAAATAAAATTAGGTAGTATGATACTGTAGATGTGGAGGTATAGAAATAGTTCACACATAAACAATATAAGATGGAAAAATGAATGAAAATTCTACTACTTAAAAAGTAGGGAGAAGATTTGAATAACTATCTTTACTTTATAGGTTGGACATACTTGTGTATTAACTTATATGTGCCTATACATAACTATGTGTGTCTGTGGTCCCATACTGACTGTTTCCTTACTCATTAGCTGATATCAGAGTTTAGTTATTTCCTCTTTAACACATATGCAAGAGGCAATGACATTATATACTGCTTCTGCAAACATTATTTGGAGAAACTGCTCTCAACACTAATGGAACATACATGGATTATATTGCTATATTCTAATAAGCACTCTTGTTTCTTTGAATAAAATTTGGTAGCTGTCTTGTATAATGGCATTTAGTCGTACAAGTATTTGCATCATGTTTTGTTCTTCTAATGTACACTGAACCATAACTACCAGAAATGCAGTAAATTCCTCAGACCATAGTTCCATCAGATCTTTGGGTGATCTTCGACTTTCTTTTTTATATTTCGTGAAGATTTTGCAGATTTACTCTTCAAAATTTAATCCAAAATCTAAATTTTTGTCACTTTCTAAAAACTTAAGTTTAAACAAAATTAGCCTTTATGTAAATATGATACCTCAGATTAAAGTTAAAATTCAAACTGCTATAAGTTTGATTTTCAACTACCTAAAGGCTTCCTTAAATGCTTAAAATATAGGTTTAGTTATCTATTTTAATAATTTGTTAAGTTCTAATATTGCAGAACAGCTGAGAAACTCATTAATGGCCACATGTGTAGGCTTACTTATGAAGCAAAAAGCTCAATTTTTAAGCACTAAGTAGGGATTGTTGTATATATATAGAACTACTTTTACCTAAATTTTTATGTAATTTAAGATTGTCAGGAAAAAGTACTATCAATTTACAAATGATAAAAAGTGTGATTGTTAAGAAACTGGTCATTTTTAAACAGTATCTTTGAATCTACTACATGGATTTTAATATATTTTTTTCTTTTTGTTCTTTGTGACCTATAAAATTAAAATTATCTTTCACAATTTTGTTTTGTCAAAAAGTTGACATGATTACAAAAAAAAAAAATGAGTGTTACAATTAGTCAACTGGGCTTAAGAGATTTAGTTCTTCAAATATAGGGCAAAAAGAGCTATTTTTTTAACATTTTGATGGGCATGTCTTAGGCCCAGGGGAACCTACAGGGCTAAAAAATAGCTACAGGCTACTTTTTTAAGATACATATACGATATAGAGGAGCATATGGGCCCCCATTTTGTTTTTTCAAATATTTTTTCTGTCTTTCATGATAGTATGTGAAATTGCAGATATATTGAAATTCAACATCATTAATAATGCTGGAAAGTTGTTTATTTAGAAAAAGCTTTCGGAAAAATATATATTGAATGTAATAAATTTAGTGCAAATTTTAAAATTGCCCGGTATGTTGGAAATATGGACCCCTAAAAAAAATCACCACATCAATTTTGTATGTGGAGGAACTCTTTTTTAGACATCTAACGTCACGGAGCAAGACACCGTGGTATCTTTCGGCCCAGTAGGATACTAGGCCAGAAGACCCCAAGTGGGAAAATATTTCCGTGAGGCCAAAAAATAATAAATAACAATAGCCATAAATTTCAGATCCCTGGTTCAATTTCCTCCCTTGTGCTCCTGCTTCTTCTTCTTCATGGTCCCAGAAATCAGACCTCTTACAAGCTGCTTGTACAATTGAGCTACCAAACTAAGAAGGGAAATTAGCCGAAATTGCACCTCTTCCTCTTTACCTCTACCTTTCGGGATAAGGACAACCTTAGAGTCTTTCAACAGTGTTGGAAACTGCTGTTGCTCAAGCAGTTTGTTTAGCAATCCCAGGAAAACCTGCGGGTATCTTGGTGCGGCGAGTCTTACTGTCTTCGGCATGACTCCATCTATCTATCTACTAACTGAAGATGTTCAAGTCGTTCGTTTCACCTACGTGGTTGTTTTCTTTCATACCTCCCATTTGATCTCATACAAGCCAACTCCTTTGCAACACTCAGAACCTCAATCAACTCTCCCAAAAGCCAAAAGCATCTACAAAAACCTTCTCATTTAAACATCTCTTTAGATTAATGTTCTCATCGTTTCGTTTCTGCCTTTTGCTAGCTATTTCAAAACTCACATACTTGTGCAAGCTGAGCGATTCTTTTTCCAAAGCGTCCAGCTTACGACCCTGTTTATAAATTACATTGAAATCAGTGTTATGTCCAGAAAAGATTCACTATTACCTCTCACGAATATAGGTGCCTTACCGTCATTTAGCACGGTAAGCCGCATGGCGTGGATCCATTCTGATAGGTATTTACCTCTCCCATGTTGCACTCGTGGGTTCCATGGACATACCTCTCTGACATCTCTCTTCAATCCTGACCCCCCAGGGGGAGTGTAGTGGTCGACGTGATGTCGTGTATTGTCCGTCTCCAGAGATCTCTGTCTCTGGTCATTTCTTTTAATTCATGCATAGGTCTTTGGCATATTCCTGTAATTTGATCTATCCATCTTGTTGAGGATCTTCCTCGTGATCTTCGGCCTTCTACCTTTCCTTGTATTATGAGTCTTTCCATGTTTTCTGTGTTTGCTCTCATAACATGCCCAAAATATTTTAATTGTTGGAGATGGACTTTACTAGAGAGTCGTTGGCTAACTTCTAGCTCTCTTAAAATTGAATTATTTGTTCTGCGGTCGGTCCAAGGAATTCGTAATATTCGTCTCCAACAGAACATTTCAGTGGCGTCTATCTTTCTTCTCTTCGATTGTCTCAGAGTCCAAGATTCACATCCGTAGGTCAGTATTGGGAATATTAAGCAGTTGATCAACCTCATCTTTATCGCTCTTGAAATTTGACAGTCCTTCCATATTTTGGTCATTTTTGCTGTGGCAACTTTTGCTAGATCAGATCTACGTTTAATCTCTTCTTGTAATGACCCTGTGTTTGTGATTAATGATCCCAGATATAAATATGAGCTCACAACCTCGAACCGGTCAATTGCGGTTATGTGTGGATGATTGTTGTGTAGTCTATCCACTATCATGTTCTTTGTCTTTGATATGTTTAATTGCAGACCAATATTTGACATTCGTTTTCGATCAGTCGTATAAGTTCTATCAGCTCTGCTTGACTATTTGCAAGAAGGGCTGTGTCATCTGCGAAACGTAGGTTGTTTAGTTTATGACCATTTATTGAGATGCCCTTTTCTCATCCTTTAAGTGCTCTTCGCATAATATACTCCCCATATATGTTGAATAATTGTGGAGATAGTATACATCCTTGTCTGACACCCCGTTCTGGTTGAAATTCGTTCGAAAGTGTGTCAAGTACTTTAACTGATCCAGTAGTGTGTTCATATAGTTCGGTTATAAGCGTAATTAGATGTTGTGGTACGCCTACTTCTTTTAGTATTCGCCATAAGTGTCTCCACTTGACCCTGTCGAACGCTTTACGGTAATCTATAAAACAGATGTATAGTGGGATGTTGAATTCCCTAGATTTCTCGATTATCTGTCTTATATTCAGGAGGTGTTCTCGAGTACCTCTACCTTTGGTAAATCCAGTTTGCTCTTGTGGAATTTCTCTTTGAAGGAATGTTTTCAGTCTCTCATTGATTATATGTAGCATTATCTTGCTGGCATGGGATATAAGTTAGATAGTTCTATAATTGTCGCATTTATGGAAGCTGCCTTTTTTTATGTATGGTCGTTACTGTAGATTTTGTCCAGTCTTCAGGCCATTGTTTGGAATGCCATATTTGGTTACAGAGTAGATGAAGTAACTTTACGCCGGTTTCTTCTGTGGCTTTAAGCATTTCTGCTGTTATCATATCTGGACCTGGTGCTTTGTTATATTTGAGCTTGTTGATAGCCTGTCTTACTTCATTTTCGAGTATATCAGGTTCTTCTTCCACCTCGTCAGAGATTTGGCTAACAAGCTCTTGGCGTTGATCATCTTTATATAGGTCCCTGCAATACGATCTCCATGTCTCTGCTATGTCTTCTCTGTTTGTTCTCAGGGTTCCAGTGTTATCTTCAATGGCCCAAGTTCTGGCTCTGAAGTCTCTTGTCAGGTAGCGTATTTTTCTAAATAGATCTCTCGGCTGATTATTCTGACCATGTCTCTCAATTTCTTTGCATATACTTTGATAGTACTGTTTTTGTCGGCCTTACATCTTCGTTTTATTTCTTTATTGAGGTTTCTTAAACTAGCTTTTTCCCTTTCACTATGTACACCACTTTTACAAAGATTTCTTCTATTCTCAATTATTTTAAGAGTTTCATCTGTTATCCAGTGTTTCCGTTTCACCGGATTATTTTTCTTTGAGCGATCCACTGGTGTTGTTACGCAATGTTTAACAGTCTCCCATATTTCTTGTGATGTTCCGTTACGAATAGAGGGCATACTTTTCTGTACTTCCTGTAGAAGGTCTTCTTTCTTTCTTAGTTCTATCCTCTTTATCTCTCTTTGTTTGTTGGGTGACATACGAGTTAGAAAACAAATGCGGGAGGTCGGCAAATTAACCAACACTTCGCACTCTTAACCTTAATCTATTTTTAAAAGATGGCGCTACCTATCATGTCCAATTTTTGACGGGGGCCCATATTAACTACAGGTTCATATTAGGACTTTTTCATCTACTAAAATATTTACAGCTTCGGTTTCAATGCCATTTTATCTTTATTTTTTATAGGTCGAGGTTTATACTGTAAAAAACAAAAAACTTGGGGACATTACAGCTTCCAACACCACAACAGTAGGTGATATAAAAAAAGAAATAGCAAAAGTATCGAAATTTCCTGTAGATAGACAGTCGCTGCGCTCAGAGGTCAAGGGAAAGGATATCAAAAATGATGCTACCATTCCTAATCTAGAATCGTTAAGAAAAGTATTTGTTAAAGACTTAGGGCCACAGATTGGATGGAATACAGTGTTTCTTCTTGAATATGCTGGGCCTTTATTTATATATGCTGCAGTTTCTTTTAGACCATGGATCCTTTATGGAGATACTGGAAGCAATTCCACCTTCACCACAACTGCCAAGTAAGTCAATATTTTACAATTCTAGGTCTGAACATGATTGTAAGCACATTAGTTAATGATAATAGACTACAAGTCCATGGGACTTTTTTAAGGCGTCATTTGACCCAGCATGACATATAAATATATACTACAATATGTAATAATAACTTTAGAAACTATGCCGTCAATTTGTATCGGTACAGGTGGCTACACAGGTGAGGTAAACTTACCACTCAAGGGGGATATTTTGGTCAAACATTTTTGAACGGTATTTATAACTTAGGTAGGTACTTAATACAATAATAAATATCAGCGACTGAATTAAAAAATGTACGGCATCAATTCCAAATGATTACTTGATGCGTAAAAGAATTTTTAGTAATGGCAACTAGGCCGTCAAATCTTGCAAATGTTTATCAACAGTTATCTGTACTTGGGAAAAAGAATTGTTGTTTTTTTTTCTTTTAAAGAAAGATAATTATTTCTTGTACGGTAGGTATCAATTGTTGGTCGTGAAAAGAACAAAACAAATTCAATAGACCTTCTCTAAACTTCTCTTCAATTTAGGCGCTTGGCAATAGGGATGTGTAGTTCACCATCGAAATAGTTCTAATGAACGATTCTTTCAACTGAACTAATTGAATTTTCATAGAAGTAGTTCACTGCGAACGATTTGCATTATAAATTGTGTCTCAACTTCTAAAGAAGAAAATAATGAATGAATGAATGAGAACATATATTTATTATTTTGTGAATGGATGTACTAACTAGTTTAAAAAAAATGCCGATTAGCCTCAGATAACAGATTCATAATTCCTATGAATGTGACAATAACATAAAGTCTTATCTTAATGTCATAATGGTTTGGATCTTATGCCCATGTATTGGCTTGGATGTTGCCATGCTGTGTTTCTTGTATTGTAATTTTGAAATAAAAATTTTAGTTGTGGTTAAAATGATTGAGACATTTACATAAAATATAATTTTGTGTAAAAGTGATGTTTCTAGAAAATTCACTGATTTTTTTTTGTAAAGGTTCTTTTAGAAATAACCTAATTATAAATACCTATGAGTGTAAATATACGTAAATATAAAAATAAATCATTCTTGAACCATATTTATATTTAAAACGGTTAATAAAAAACAAATCTTAATAATTTTTTGCAAATAAAAACTAACTAATCATATAATAATTTAAACCATTTAAACCTAAACATACGATCGAAAGAAATAGTTCCGAACTACTTGTACGTTAGTGAACTAGTGAAAGACTGACTGAAAACCGAAGTAAACGGGCGGCCGGCGCCGAGCTTGTGTGATGATTGAGACATCTGGCAACCAGTTCTAGGGTTGGATTTTGATTTCGGTCCTACAAATAGTTCTTTCGCGAACTAGTTCACTGAACCAGAAAAAAACCAAATCAGAAATATTTTTCCTACGGCAGAGGCCTCACAACGTGGACTATTACGTGGATAATTTTAAAGCCATTTAGAACCATTTTTTTGTACGCCATTTTATTATTGTTAATAATTAATGTCAATATTAACAAAATATATCAATGCCGTACAGAAATTTTTGATCGTAAAATCCCACGTATTAGAGGGAAATTAATTTTCCTCTTCTAAGCACATTTACCGTGAAAAATGTACGGCATATCCAAAAATGTTTTATGCAAAATTATTTTATGCAAGTAAATTTAAATCAGTGAGTTTCATATTGGCTCAAATGACCTCATTTGTACTACTTAAAAATAAAGGGTTGCGCCCTGGATTTTTCACCCCTGTAACAGCCGATACGTACGGTACTGCAAAAAAAGTAATCTAAATAACGATCTGAAACTATGTGTATGAATGCTATACTGTTTCAAATTACCGAAAATGGAAACAAAATTTTTCGAAAATCAAAGATTGTCTCTGCTACTGGTACCAATATTTTTGAACGGGGTTAGGTTAGGTTTAGGGTTAGGTCACAGGTCATTATTTTTGTAATACATACCTAAGTTGTAAATGCCGTACAAAAATGTTTGACCAAAATACCACCCCTTGAGTGGTAAGTTTACCTTACCTGTGTAAGGTGCTACCTGTACCGATAAAAATTGACGGCATAGTTTCTGAAGTTGTTATCTATCTTTATATTGTTATTGTTATATCTATTTTTAAATTTTAAAGTTGTACACTCAGTTGTACACACTGTTCTTAAAAATAATCCATAATAGGATATATAGGAAATTAGACGTAGACATCAGTAACACTCAGATGGGATTCAGAAAAGGGCTGGGTACAAGGGAGGCTCTGTTTGCAATGAACTTTCTCTCACAGAGATGCTTAGACATGAACCAAGAAATTTACGCCTGCTTTATTGATTTCGAAAAGGCCTTTGACAAAGTACAACATGAACCACTAAGACAAGTTCTAATAAAGAAAAATATAGACAGCCGAGATATTCGAATTATATGTAATCTATATTGGAATCAAACAGCAAATGTCAAGGTTGAGGGCAGACCAACAGAAGAAATTCAAATCCGTCGAGGAGTCCGGCAGGGATGTATCTTATCGCCACTTTTATTTAATCTGTATAGTGAAGCTATCTGTGAACAAGCACTCGAGGAAGAAGATCTTGGTCTGATAATAAATGGTAAGACGATCAACAATATAAGGTATGCTGACGATACAGTTCTTCTAACAGGAACGCTAGTAGAACTACAACATCTCGTTCAAAGTCTCAATATATACTGTAACAGTTACGGCTTGAAAATTAATTTGAAAAAAAAGGCTCTGTTTGATTTATGGTAATCACGAAATCAAAGAACATCAGAACTAATCTTGTAATAGACAATACAGCGATTGAGCGTGTGCCCTGTCATAAATATCTAGGTGCTTGGATCACAGACGATACTGATCAAACAAAAGAGATTAGATGTAGAATAGAAATCGCTAGATCAGTCTTTAATAGAATGCGCAAACTCTTTTGCAATCGTAATATCAATATAAAGTTACGAATACGAATGCTGCGGTATTATGTCTTTTCTACCCTGTTATATGGAGTTGAGGCTTGGACACTAAAAGAGTTGACCATAAAAAACATCGAAGCTTTCGAGATGTGGTGCTATAGGCGCATTTTCAGAATATCATGGATGGACCGCGTCACTAACACGCAAGTACTCCAAACTTTAGGCAAAAGATGCGAAATTCTAAATGAGATAAAAACTAGAAAGATGGAATACTTGGCGCACATTGTGAGAGGTGAAAAGTACGAACTTTTAAGAAACATCATGCAGGGCAAAATTAAGAGCAAAAGAAGTGTGGGAAGAAGAAAAATATCGTGGCTTCGTAATCTACGTGAATAGTTCGGGTGTAGTTCGATTGAACTTTTTAGGCGCGCTGCTAACAAAGTCGCAGTGGCCATGATGATTTCCAATCTCCGCTAGGAGTGGCACGAGAAGAAGAAGACACTCAGTATCTTGGGGTTTTGGCTGAACAGTATGTCTTTATGTTTCTATAAGGTAGACATTGAGATTTAGCAATATTTGTTTTCCATTCACTATGATTTCTTTTTCTTCTTCTTTTTGTAGTGCCTATCCGTATCGGATATTAGCGACTCATGGCAATCTGTATTTTGTACACTACTGCTCTGAAAATATTTGTGGTTGTTGTGTTAAGCCACGTACGTAGATTTTTCAACCAGGAAATCCTTCGCCTTCCTGGTCCTTGTTTTCCTTCTACTTCTTTTCTAGAATTAATTGCAGCTACCCATATATTTTGCTGTTCCTCATGATGTGACCGAGGTATTTGATTTTGGCTGTTTTTATTGTGGTTGATAACTCCTCGACAATAAAGCCACATTTCAGAAGCCTCAATTTCTTTTTTATTTATTTTAAACTCCGTTTTATCTCTATAGTATATTCTATAAAAATTTTGACACCTCAAATTTACAAAAAAAAAAAAATGAAAGAACTTACAGGCAACACCAGACAAAGAAGAACACTCATAACAAGAGATAATAGTGGACGAATACTTACTGAAGAGAGCAAAATAAAGAAAGTATGGGAACAATATATAATCCATCTGTTCCATGACGAGAGGAAACATGAACAAGATATAGGTGAAGAAGAATAATACCTACAAATTTTACCCCCAGAAGTAAAGCATACCCTACAGAATGCAAAACAAGGAAAAGCACCGGGTCCTGATCAAATTCCAGTTGAACTGTTAAAAGTCTTAGATGACGGTAATATAGAGACTCACTCGAATTCTCAACCACATATATGTAGAGGGCAACATCCCGGAAGAATGGCTTAAATCGATATTTTTACCTCTTCCAAAAATCAACAATCCTTTAAAGATTCGCTTAAAAATTGTTCAAAACCGAATTTATAAGAAAAGTGAGGAGCAGATAGATCAAACGCAGTTTGGCTTCAGAGGAGGCATGGGCACAAGAGAGGCATTATTTTCGTTGACGGTACTCTTGCAGAAATGTCGGGAATATAACAAGACAGCATATGTATGCTTCATAGACTTTAGGAAGGCCTTTGACCGAGTGCAGCATATGAAGTTAATAGATGAATTAAAAAACATCAATTTAGACAAAAAGAGACATTGAGTTTATTAAGGCTATATACTGGAACCAGAAAGCAGTAGTAAAGGTGAACGATATAGAAACAAATAATATACCGATTGCGAGAGGGGTCAGGAAGGGATGCGTCTTGTCTCCGACGCTTTTGAACGTGTACTCACAAGTCATATTCAGAAAAGCCTTATGGAAAGGAAAAGAGGGAATAAGAATTGGTGGAGAACACCATGAGATTTGCAGATGACACGGTAATTATGGCTGAGAGTATAGAAGAACTACAAATTTTACTAGATGCAATAAATAGTGAATGCATTCAAATGGGACCTACCATCAACACAGATAAGACAAAATATAAATATCTGGGAGTTTTCATCAACACAGAATTAGTACGAATAGAAAAGGCAAGGCAGCGTTCTTAAAATTCGAATAATTGTTCTGTGACAAAAATCTGA